AGCTATTGCGCGCCTGTTATCGTTATCGACGACGAGTCATTGTCGAAGAGCCGGTGCTTAAAGTGACGGGAAAAGCAGCCTCGACGGAGCCTCCGACGGAGCCTCCGACACTAACAAAATTTGTCTGACATATATTTGTTGCAAGTGCATTTGTGTTAAGGCTCGTCTACAATAGCTGTAAGAATATGGCTGTAAGGCTGTAATGTGAGCTGTCAGCGAATGAAAATAATTCATTTCGCGTCTTACAACCTTACAGCCATATTCTTACAGAAATTGTAGACGAGCCTTTAATTTCAGCCCAATTTTTAACCCTGACTGAATAGCCAAGCTCTTTCTAAACGTATTTTTGTAAATTGCATTCTATATTTTACTTCCAAGAACTTTCCTCAAAATTATTTTCAAAACAGTGAAAAGAAAGAAAGAATGATTACAGTTTACAATAAATGATTGAGCAAATTTTAAATCAATTCTTTAATCACGCACGACGAATAAAATTCTCAGTTGGCCCTGTTTGCAATCTGATCATTCAGCCGAATTTACGAATCGACATATCGTCAGCGAAGTTAGGGTCTTCACACACAAATTGACATAAAAGTAACGTAAAACATACCGTAAGAATTGATCAGTTACAATTGAGTATTTACAAGAATTACCTCACGACCTTACGATTTGACTTAATATTCAATGTAATTGGTAAATTCTCAAGGTGCATCTATAATGGAATTGGCAGTAAGACGTAAGTAGTAATATTCTTGTATCATTCGTATTATTCCTGTAATATTCGACTGTGGTTGGTCAACTTGCTTACTGTTTACGTCTTACTACCTATTGCCAATCCGATTATAGATGGCCCTTTATGGTCTTATGTTACAGTTACGGCAATTTGTGAATGTGCCTTAGGCGACCTGTAGAAACGAAACACACTGAGAGAAAAATATACTTGCTTTCGGCGTCAACTATATTTTTTTGTGATTTTAACCAGAAAAATAATTAGAAGAACCATTTTTCTAATAATACTTACTGAAACAACGGTTTTTCTAACTATTTTTGTGCTTAAAATCACAAAAAGAGTATAGTTGACGCCAAAGGCGACTATATTTTTCTCTCAGTACATGAACGCAACGAACACAACGCAACACGCCATGACACGTGGAATTATAAAGGTCCATCTACAATAAAATTGGTAGCAGACAGTAAGATGTAAGCAGTAAGGAAGTTGACCAACCACAGTCGATTATTCTTGTAAAAATCGACTGTGGTTGGTCAATTGGCACACTGCCTACTGCCAATTCCATTGTAGATGGCCCTTAACCACTCCACGTGGGTTTCTTGCATTTCTCACTTGCGGTTTACCCGCCGCCGTCGTCATCGTCGTCGTCGTCGCGGTTGTCGTCTTCGTGGCCTCTGTACTATCGTAGTAGACGGCGCCCGGTAACCCGAGGGAAGGTAAACGGCTTGTTGCGCGTCGGCGAAGCCCATTTTATGTCGTGGAAAAAGCGGGAATTCAAATGAGCACCGTTACCGCCGGGGCGTTTATATGATAAAGAGTCGCCCTTAAACAATATTTATGCCCGCCGTTGGAGCCGGAGGCATGCAATAAATACTAAGCCTATGCTAATCTTTATACTTGTCCCTCGCTCACGCTGATAAGGTTTCTTTAAAGTTCCACCCCTTAAGCTCCGAGAGAAGATGCGGGAAGGAGGGGGAGGGGAGGGGGTGGTTGATGGTTAACGTAAACGTCACGTCCCCGTCGCGTATCGATTATTGACGGCAAATAAGAGGGGCGGCGGCCGCGGACTCGCGAAAATAACGACGGTAGTATCTTCCGGTATTATTTCTCCGCAAAACTATATCGCACGCGTGCGTTTCATAATATTTGCATGCTGAGAATATCGACGGAAGGTACATCAGCGAGTTTGAATTACATGCGAGCACGAGCACAACATGTATCGCATTCGCCGATCTCGGCAAGTTAACATCGTCGGATTGCTGCACAGAAGGTCTGTTATCTCGCTATTCAATTCTCGTAGGAGATTTGAATATCAAGAGGGAAATAAGAAATGCTTATGGATGTTTGGACAAATACAGAGTCGGATGTTATTCGTTCTGTTCGCAAAAATTATCAGTCCTTCGAAACCGGATAATTCCGTTTTCTGTTTTCCGTGCGACGAACCTTCTTCTTCACCAACCTAGTGTGATATTGTGTTCCGTTCCGTCGTGCCAGACGTAGGATCAGGTGTGCACTCGGAGATTTATCGCTCGCGCGCGGAATAAAACGCAGGGTCTACGCGACGACGAAATTAGTCTCGACATCTTGAACCGGTGGATTTGTTTAGCCGCGTAACACCGGACTAACGTGTCCGCGTGTTGTGTGTATCCTGAGCCTCTTCGCGCCCGTAAACGTGATATGTCGCGACACAATATCGTTTATTTGACGCTGCGGTGGAGATATCTCACGGCCCGACGTCATGGATCTGACATTTTTGACGAGATCCATTTTGGCAATCCTACGGTATCTCTCTGACACTTTTGACACGATGTCGCGCGTTGTCAGCGAAATATAATTTAGCTTTAACATTTTCCCGTTACGCCGCGTATAATCGCGTACAGTAACGCGGAAATTCAACTTCGTTAAGAGAGAACGGTAATAAAACATAGCGGGGAGGACATTCGCGTACACGTACTTTTTTCTTCTTCTCATTGAAAATAATATCGCGTCATGATATCTCATATTGAGAAAAATACCTCCAAGCAAATCCGTCGCATTTTGCAACCGGAGGGGAGAACTGACGGCATTGAGTCGCGAGCTACTACGTTCACTAACGCGAGAGAGAATCAACTGCGACGTATCATTTCCTGCTATATAAATTCCTTTGAGTGAAATCTCACTCGAAACGGATGAAACAATAACTAATGGGAATACGTTAGATATTCAATTTTTAATTTCAAATAAAAATTAGACGATTAGAAAAATTAGAGTCGGTTTTTCAATGATAGTTTAAACTTAGATTTCAACTTAAACTTTGTTTAAACAAAACAAACGCATTGTTAGAATAGAGTTTAAACCTAAATCCAAGTTTAAATTGCTATTGAAAAACCGGCCCTCAGAAAGAGAACGGAGCAGTTCACTCTGTGACTATATGACTGTTCTATATGACTGAGAAGCCACTCCATTTCGAGTAACTTCGGCAGCCACTCTACTTTTCAAATTTCTCGAAGTGAAATATTATCGAATGGTTTCATTCGTAGGATGAACTTTTAATCCATACGAATGAATGTCTCGAAAGTTCATATTTCAATTAGAACAAATTTCTCTAATGATGATGAATTGACTTACTCTTCACTTTCGAATGAAAATATACTTTACACGAGTGAAGAAGAGTCACTCCAATTCGAGTGATTTGGTTGTTGCTCTGCTTTTTCCGCGTGGAATTTTACTCGAAGAGATTCAGAGAGTAATAGCAACGCGTTTGATCGACAAGAAGACAAATCATCTCACGCGCGTGGTGGCGTCTGATCCTTCGTTTATCACGAAGGGTGGGACGTCTCCCTTCATCCCCATCGACTCTTCATAGCGAGACGCGTAGTCGTCGGTCAGCGGCGATTCGGCGTGACTTGTGTCGACGACAAATCGGAAGCGGCGAGGCGAGACGAGCCGCTCGCTTTCTTCCTCGGGTCGCTCGCAAAAAGTCGCCGGGCGACCCGAGGCTGCAGGGCGCACCGGTGCCGCAGAAAACTCGTAGTATCACTATCCCCTTCTCTCTTACCGCCGGCTTTTCACCCCGGCAAGGCAGGAGCCGGACTGCCGTGTCCGGCGGGTCCTCCGGCGCGCTCGTCACTGCGAGAGGAAAACGAAGGCAGCCGACCGAATCGAATGGAAACTCGTTTCTTGGAAATAGCCTACCGGAAATTTACGAAGAAATTGGCCTTCCCGTCCCGATCTGACCAACGAGCTATCCACTTACTCGAATCGGTCCGGTCGGATTGCACCCCCGGCGACTCACCCTGGCGCTCGCCGCGTCCGTCCCCGTCATCAGGCCGGCGAGATTCGGTCCGATCTCAAACTGGCGCGGGGATGCCACGGAACTGGCGCGGAAGCGGAATTTCATAAGCCGAATCTCTTAATCCCATCGTGGCCCGATTTCGCGTATCGCAAGCTATCGCCGTGACCGCGGCCGGTGTCCCTCGGAGTATTTTCTGATATCGAGCCGGAGTACACCCCGGCGGCGCAAGTACCGATGTCTATATCGATTTTACACGCGCGTATCCGCTCGTATCGCTTCCAGTAAGCGCTCGACGGAGAAGTCCTTCGTAAAATTCGTTTCTCCTGGCGGAGACGCGACCCGATGAGAGAAGTGGGATTGGGCGAGTGGGTTATCAGTTTCTGTGCCGATCTCGGGGATTAGGGAATTTCGCTGTTGACTGTCCTCGTGAGACACATGGAGGTATGCTCTCCAGGGTGTATCGGTGGTTCGTGAACGCACGCGTGTTCTAATAAATAAGGAATTCGTGCTCCCCGGGGACTCGTCGTTAATATCGCCGATTCGATTTCTGGCCAGAGTAATCGCGTTGCGTTTAACAGAGTACATATATAACACATAAGTGCCTATGAAACGTTTGTGATATACCAATTACATGGTTTTTTAATCTAAGTGGTGGCAATAAACGATTCCGAAAAGTGAATTTCAGGGCAAAATGAATTTGCTCATTTCCTTACGCGCTATTTTACAGTGTCTACGAAATCGAATTTTAAGTCGACTTATAAGATATTCTAAACACAACGAGGTTGAAATTATAGTTAACACGTTGACCGACCACGATATCAACTATCCCGTTAATGCATGCATAGGACGTAACTAATTGCATCCAACGAATGAAGTATACATACGTGCAACAGGAAATCTGCATTTAGCGTGACTTGATTACTCGAACTTTAGTTAAACCTCGGAACAACCAGCGCTGCAATGAACGCGTTAATCGAATGAGATATCTCTTTTCAGTTCCGCTGGTGAACATCAGCGTGGTGGAGGGAAGGCCCGCCGAATTACCGTGCGACATAACTCCTCCCGGCGAAGACACACTGCACATGGTCTTCTGGTTTAAGGACGAAGCCGGAGTACCGCTGTACACGTGAGTTTGCAAGCCCTTTCCATCATCGTCGCATGCGAAATTTACACGCGATTCAAACGCGATGGAATATCTGCGAACGGAAAGTCTACGCGAGAGATATCGGCCGAGTCACAGATTTTCACGACATGACTGTATCGAAAAGAAAAAAAAAAAAAAAAAAAAAAAACAAAAAAAGGGAAAGGAACGAACAACAAAACGCGTGACCTGAGTTTTACCTGAGAAATTCACGAAAAAAACAACTGTTCCGAGACGAATCATCGCAACACGCGAGTTTCGCGGCGGTTCCCGACAAGGAAACCGCGCTACCGCGAAATTTCCTCGCGAATCTCGCACTCACCACTGCGACTGTGGGAAAACCCGCGAACGTTCTTGTTCGGAAACAGCGAGAGAATTTGATCAAAGTCGCCAACGAGGCGTGCCGCGCGCTTGCCGGCACGCGATTCGCCGCGACAATCGGAATAGGCCAATGACGCCCGGAGGAAATCCGCGTTTCGATCTATGGGACCGACCTTTACCACCGTACCGCATGCCGTACCGTGCGTCTCTCGTCGCGTCTTGTCGCTGAAAAATTCCGGCCACTCCGAGAATCTATGGTCCTCACGACTAATACATAGTAGAGCCGTCCCCGTAGCTGGTTGCTGTGCTCCTTCCCATTACGACATCGCGTCGCGAATTCAGTCTCTCTCTCTCTCTCTCTCTCTCTCTCTCTCTCTCTCTCTC